TGGTGATCAATTTCGTGAGTTACGTTCAAAGAAAATTGGTTTATGAAAAACTTTATATTTCAGTTCGTGCGGTGTCTAATAAAACAAGCTACACTTGAAACTTGTAATCTCTTTTTACTTGAAAATGAGTTGCCAAATTTCGTAATAAATTTCTCAACAAACTTTGGACAGCACGCAAGTAACCAGCCCGCCGGTCTATAGCCACTTCAGAGCAATTTCAATGAACTGCATAATTTAGTGGCTAAATACCGATGCTTGAAGCAAGACAACAACACGATGAATGATTTCAAGACAAAAACAACAAAGTTCATAGTAAACTGTGTAACCGCACTTGAAACCCGAACCGAAAATAAAGTGCGTCTGCTGCGCTATGTAACACAACGCAATGCTCTAGGAAGTCTGCGCCGCCACTCAGAGGCTGTCGAATTCGCAGTCGCAGCAATAGCAACAACGCGTTGTGGAAATACTGTGCTATCACAACTCAGTACAATGCACTTTGACTCAGCCTGCTTTGATGGCTTCGAAACTGAGTTCGGTGGTTTTTGAAGCTCGTCACTCTCGTTTGTGGGTTGTTGTCATTTCGTTCGGCCGACACTTATGACTCTCGTTTACAGCTTTCTAAAAGAAAACTAAAGTAAGTTATTTGTGGCGAATTGCGAAATAAAATTACAATTTGGAACGGGTTATGTGTGTAAAGTTCCAGCCACAAGTAATTCCTATGAACTGATCCAAAGCTGCTGCCCTTTAAAGCACACCTCATGCTGACCATCCGAATAGTTGGGGGTTGTATGCCTTGAAGCACTTCATTTGTTCCACCTTCCCTCACCCGGTTTTTCTCTGTTGCAGCAACAATTTTCACAGTTATTTATGATCTCTGGCCATTGCCTGCTGTAGTTATGTGTAGGGGAAGAAGAAGCAATGGCAGAGCAGCAAACAGTGTGGACTCGTGTGAACTTCGTATTTAATTCCTTTCACTGGCCGGGTGTAACTTTGTCGGATAACCATCGTTTAACATGCAATTTACTTTGGAATTTGTAATTATAAAATTTTCAAATTTGTTACTTTTACTCGTATTGTTGAGCGTAGTGTAGTTGTTGTTATTGCCGTAGTTTATGCAGCTTTTCAATTTCCACATTTTTGTCGTAAATTCTCTCTCATTTTCACATATATAACTGTACATTCACAAATATACAATGTAAATAGTAAATAAAATTCAAATGTCTATTGGCCACCTTCCTTTATACTTGCAAATAATCTGTACTTGGATGTTTGAATGTGTGTGTGTACAAACGTCCTTAGAAGAAAACGGAATTCGTCGAATCATGCTTACGTTAGAAAAAGACTACTCTTTGGTATACAAGAAAATTTTGTCGTTTAGAAAAAAATCCAAATAATATTAATTGCTCAGCCTAATTTTTCAATCCTTTGATTTCAGTTTGCTTTTTGAATTGTGAAACGGTGAATCGATCATTCTCATGACTTCATCAAATTTTCCTGTGCGATATGCCTCTCATGTTTCTTTCATATACTTAATAGAGTCAGTTATCTCCGATCAACTTTTTTGCGGTCATCCTTTTGTGGACTTGTTTATGAATTATTTCGAAACATGTTCCTTTAACATTACGCTGGCGTTAAGAGACGCTGAAAAAATTCATAATAGGTTGATTGAATTTCTTTAGATGGAAGTCGGTCAACTTCTCCTTTCGTTTAAATTGAACCATACCTTGGTTTTTTCAATATTTTCAACTGTTTTATCGATACCTTAGCAGATCAATACGTGATCTTAAAGTAACTTCGATCATTTTCAGAACTATTGAATAGGGTTCAACTTCCACTATATGAATAAATATTTTAAATCAAAGTTTCGTGAAAAATTTGTATGATCACAACATGATGATATTGAATAAGTTACAAAAAAAAGTGGTTCCCGAGCATTTCCTACAAGGCTCTTAATGCATTATACATGCGTATATACGTAACAGTGATACCCGCATTTGCCTTCACTTTGGAGTTGAAAAATTTATGAGAATATTTTTGGTGAGAAATGTTGGCACAAAAGTAAATAATTGTTGTTTCAAAGTTATGGAATGATGAAGCCTAGCAAATTTATAAGATAACTCCTTTTCGAATATTTCACTTATTTCAGCCAAATTGAGAAATTCACTAATTGTTGGACAGTGATTAGATAGCAGAATAAAAACGAAAATAATTAAAAGGTAAAGGTCGAATTCGTAACCACTTATCTTACACAGAGCTAGAGGCTTAAACGATATAATAGCTTCGTTCAACTAAAACCTTTTTCTGGCATCTCAAATAATCGAGTTGAAAGGAATCGGATAATTGCCAATTGACGTTAATGAGTGTTTTCATAGTCATGTGAGAACGCATATAATTTAATGGTGTTGACAAAAGTTTAGCTTTATTAAACAGAAAAGGATTTGCTACAATGTTTTAAAAATGATTTCGGGCTGGCTCGAATAAATTCCAGCTCAGAAGTCCAATTCTCGATCACTTTTTGTAGCAATTGAGGTCGCGTGTCAATATGCGCCGAATATCTTCTTTCCAGGCGACAATTGTCTCTAGCTTATCTTCATATAAACCCAATATATTGATTGTTTCATCAGTTGTATACCATATAGTGTTGTCTTGTTGGAACGAAAGGTCGTCCACGTCAATATACTCCAATTTCAGAACGAAAAAGTATTTAATCATGGCTCCATAGCGTTCTTCACTGACGATAGCGTTATGGCCTTCCGAACCGTGAATTTTTGAGGATATAGCTACGTTTCAATAATATATTGTGGATTACCACCACAACAAATGCGACAATTTTGTTTATTATATTCAACGGCTATTCAACCAAAAGTGAGCTCCATCGCTGAACAAAATCGCAATCGTTTTTCCTGAGTAGGTCTGCTCATCATAAAATGGCAAGCCAAACTGAGTTTAATATCATATTATTCTCATTTGTGTTTTGCAAACTTTTAACGCAAGACGTATTTCCAGATTTTATTCAAAGTATTGCCCATTTGGAGCTTTAACATTATTTCATCTTTGTTACAATATGTGGATTTCGTGAAAAAAAAAGCTGCGCTGGCTTGGCAGCCAGGAGTGAACCAACGCAATTTTGATACCCTGTTCCGATGTGAACCGTTATTAAGACGGAAATTATTTTCCCGTGTGTCCTCCGAGTTTTAAAAAATTTTCGGCAATTGCTCGCTTTAATTTAATAAGTTTTTATCGGTAGCCTTCTCCTTTAATAGTTTTATTAGGTTTAAGAAGCTCATAATACTGCACGCCCACCAAATACAAAATGATCACACAGTCCCGGCGCCTTGAATATTCGGCTAAACTTCCACCAAAATATCATGACTTTCCGCGTATGTTTTCTTCATAGTAATGTAATGAAGAAGAACTTCCCGCGAAAGCACTTCTTCAGACTCCAAGTTTTACTTATTTCAGTAAAGTTAATAGATGTTGTTGCCAGAGTTCTCCACAGCTAAAAGTGGTGTAGTTTTGAATATTTTTAAAACAGATGTAACCAATTGTATCGCCACCAATCAAGGCTATCGCCAAAGGAAAGCTGATGTACAGTTTTATTATAAACTAGCTGAATGCCGCCCGCTTCGTAAAGCGTTCTGAAATAAAACTACTATTTTTGCCATATCATTTGTTTAATGAAAGATTTTATTACAATCTAGTTCAATGCTCTATGATAAACAACATTTTTAGTTATTTTGTTCTCGGTATAAATAAATAAAACCGCTGGCATGCAAAAAAACTGGATATTCTAAAATCATGTCGCATATTCCCAAAGACTGCCCTTGCGTTTTATTTATGGTATTGTCAAAAGCAAAACGAACTGGAAATTGCAGATTAATTTGAGATTAATCTCAAATGGCAAATCAGATGCAATCATTGGAATACGGGGAATAAATACGTCTTCACCTTTAAATTTCCCGGTCAAAATCGTTGCTTCAATAACATTTCCCATTACTTTTTAACAGCTAATCTTGTAACATTACAATATATTTTGAAGCATAGTAGTTGTAACTCCGACTTTCAATTGAAGATTATGCAGTGGTAATCCCGAAAAATCAAGCGAATTCAGAAATTCGATAGGATAATTCACCACATCTTCTTCATTCGTCATCTCCTGGTATATTAAGTTGTATGGCTGTATTTAATTCGTTAACATCCCTATTTTTTGCTTCCAAAATTATTCAAACACTTTTGACAACAACTGAGAATATGGCACGAGCCAACGATTGTCTACTTCAATGTCTTTGTAAAAAAGTGCACTCACCTTTTTGTTTGTTCATTTTACCACAGAATAAAAAGAAATAGCTATGCATATATATTTACAGCATAATGATGAAAAAGTAGTCGGCAGTGCAAAATATGATTAAACTCACGATACACAGAGCCAAAAACTTCACCTATAATCAATAAAATTGACTTCTAAAAAAGCTCATCGGGCGAGGAAAGCTAGGGGGAATATTGAAGAAAATTTGACTAGAAAGTCTTCTTAATTTAAGTTTAAATTTCTTCTAAAATCTCTTGAAAAGGAAACCGGCTGAAAATAAAAGGATTACTTCTTATATATTAATTTGTTTTTGTAATTTTGTCAAAAAATTCAATTGTTGGAAGAAATCTACTTGTTTTTATGAGAAAACTATTAAAGAGCAAATTAATAAGGACATCCACTTATTTTTACTAGAACCTTATTAAATTGATTAAATTAAATTTAAAATTTGCTATTAACGTCTCAAAATGCGTACATACATACATATTAATGTTTGCATATTGCATCAGCCAATTTAGAAAAATTTTGCTTGGCGACAGTGTTATTCTTTTTATCCCGTTGCTTTTTTGTGAAGTTGCTTATAACATGTAAATGACACATGTCACATTTCAGTTGCTCTTGTGTTGTATTGCTTGCTAGTTGTGTTGTGAAAATTTATTATATTATATTCAAAATGTGCGATATTTATGGTGAACCAAGCCAAGGCAATGTTTGATTTCTTGGAATTATTAAAGTCTTGGGGATTGCTAAACGAAATAATTGATACCCTGATTGAACGGGGGATTAATTCCTTTCTCATTCTTGACAAAATGCGAATTGACGACGTTGACGCTTTTTTCGATAGATGTGAAACAAAATATTTCGGAGAGCGCATAAAATTTAAAGCCGGTTTTAGGAAGTGGCGAACAAAAAAGGTAAGATGATTCTTTTATTCTTAAATTATCAATTTAGTTTACAGAGCGGTATGCACAACACAAGTTTTTAAGGGTATTCCATTTATTTGTGACCAGGAGATACAAACTGCAAACACCGACGTCTTAGATTGGCTGAAAAAATATTCAGTGATTTGTCTTCCGTAAAATCGGGAGAATGTAGTATGGTACTTTGTTCGCCTCAAACGAAGATTTCTTCGTTTCGCGAGCTTTTAAAAACGTCAGTAAAGGGACAACTTGCTTTAAGTTATCAAGAAATTCATGGCTACTTGGATAGTAGAAACCAAAAAAATGTAACACATTGCATCGTTGACAACTATATTGGTTTAGGACGCAAAATGCAATACTCAGATATGAGGGAATGGGCGAATGAAATTGTTGCGGTATTTCCTAAAGAAAAGAAGGTAATTGCACGTATTCGATTACAACTACTAAAAACTTACAAAAAATTTTTGTTACTCTTATATAGTAGGAATGGGAAAAAAAGAAGCCGAGTCATAATGTCATAAAGTTGGAAAACAAAGCCAATTATGTTACCCAGGAAGCTCATGGAGATGTTTTTGACGGTATGCAATACTTTTTACTTCTACTTTATAAAATAAATGGTGGTTTTAACAATATTTAATTTAACTTCTTGCACTGCAGATAACGTATTGGAAAAAAAGTGTTGGTTGGCACATAATTGCACACCTTGGGAAAAAGTTAAAAAGTTTTGGGTAGATACATGCACATTTAGAAATAAATGTAAGGGATCTCTATCGGATTTGCTAGCAGACTGGCCGCGCTACAATGATTTTAACGGTTACGAATTGGTAAGAAAAAMGCACAAATTATTTATTTTCAAATTAAACATTATTCAATTATAACAGGTTGATATTGATTTTAATGCCACGCATCCAGACATTTGAAACGAGCTGGTCTTGAAACTTGACAAGTTTTATAAAGTAATCCTTCCTATCTGAAATGTGGAAGTAAAAGACCAAGCCAGCCGAGAGTTACTACTTTCGAAATTCCTTTACAAAGATTTAACAAATGGTAAAAAAACATGAAAACTATAGAATATTAAATTATTCATATGTTGAATTAATTTATAATCAGATTCTAAATATTGCATTGTGTTGTTATTGCTCCATGCGGTTCTTCAACCACAGCGTCAGAGTAAAACCCACAAACCAACGATTGGTGACGCTCAATCAGAGCTTATAACACTAGCAACTATTCCAAATGATATATTACCAAAGATTTCATCCAAAATTGAGCAATACGCAGTAGGTGAGGACTATACAAGTATTTCAGAATTCTTTATATTTTGCGACGGGCTTAAGTGGATATGTCCCATTTTAATGAAATGTGTCGCCTGTATTATTAAGTTAAGTTATGTATTCCAAATTGAATATTCCCACAATAGCAAGCAAGTTTGGGTATTTTTAGAACAATACTTTTTTGGGCTTAAGTCTAAAGATTTTCCTTCAGTTTAAAATTTACTCAGCAAGTTACTAACTTGCTAACTTACTTAACTAATTTTTTATTTTCTTCTTTTCTTTTTAATTGTTAAAAACGACCAAATTTGCTTGCTATTTATGTCACAAAACCCCACTTAACTTCATGTTTACTTATAAATCATTTAAAGGAAGATCATGGGCTTCAGTCCATAGAAAAATTTGTTTGCAATGAGGAAAACCTTATCCCACCGAATGATTCTGTTTAAAAATTTTTAGTTATTTTCATTAAACTAATTGACTATGTGTTATTGCCAAATTTCGACGACGATCTCTTAATTAAACTTCAAGTGTTGATTGAAGAGCACAACAGGTTATATCAATGCTTGTTTAAGGATACTTTAAAACCCAAACACCACAACCTTGTTCATTACCCCACTATTATTAAGAGACTAGGCTCCCTTAAATACCTATGGTCATTTAGATTTGAAGCTGAACACCAAATTCATAAAAAAATATGCCAGAAGTATAACGTCCAGAATAAATATTCCTTTATCTCTGGGAATCAAATCAGCTATAAGATTTGCGAATTCAGTTATAACTAATAACTTTTTTCAAGCCGAAATTGTTTGTAAAGAACAATGTTCTATTACGAAAGAAACTTACATTCCATCATTAAATTTATCCGATTTGAATTCATATAAAAGAATAGATTCCGTTATTTTAAGAGAAAAATCTTTCATAATTGGACACATTGTTTCATTTACTAAAGACAGTTTTCTTATTTACGAAATAAGTGAAAATAATATTATTGTATTGTAATATTGTAGTGAAAACTCATATTAGTCTAAATTTTTCTGAGAGATTTCAATCATATTTGGTTGGCAGTGTCGAATGACAATTTTATAATCATCCGTCGGCATACGATCAGTGGCTGTTTGAAACACTCGAACAAATTCATTTTCATCGTGAGTTCAACAATTTCTCTTCTCACATTTTAAGTGATAGAGCAACGCCGTTCAACTTCAATATTGGAATTCCCACCAAAAATAATTGTAATTATGAGCTCACTGTATTGAAAATCTGGACTTGAAGTAGCAGTGTAAAATTTTCAAAACATTTTGCAAAGTACCTTAAGAGTTGGCATGAAGTTATCACGAGTGACATTGGTCGCACCAGACGAAGTCATTTTGAAACATGAATTATACGTTTGTATATTCGCAAAAGAATGCCCCGACTCAGGTGTAACTCCCAAACCCAAAGAGCTCAAAGTCTCTGGATGTGGGTTCAATGCCGGTAATTTTACTTTTCCATTAGCACAACATAATCCCCGCGTTTAATATTTGAATTTGAATAATTTGCAATGTTCACAAACTACAGACATTAATACAATATTAACTGATGCGTGCAAATTATATTCAAATGTATTATTATAATTGGACGCTGCTCAATTCTAAATTCCTAAAACACGTATCCTATTTTGCAAAATTCTTCTACGTTTAGTACGTAGCCGATCAACTAAATTTCTTTGCAAATGCTACACATCAGTTTTCTGTGCTCTTCTAACAGCTACCAGCGAAGCTGCACGCGAACGCCTCCCAATATTATCACGATTTGGTGGCATTATTCAAAATCTGCAAATCTGCGAATATAAACTTAAAATCCCATTTCAAAAAACTAAATCCAATCAAGCTTAAAAATAGATAAATTTATTAAGTATGCACTCACTTGTCACGACAATTTTCCGTTTTCTTCTTTGTAGTTGTTGATGTCTTATATTATAAGTTCATGCTCATGTATTTAATTTAATGTTGAAAATAATTAAACAATGTTAACTTTTATTTGTAAAACGTAACGTTTACTCAGCTGTAGCGAACAGACAAACAACCCAAGTAATTTTTATATATAAGATTACATTTAAATGTTTTTACTTAAGCATAATTTTTTCTCAAACATATACTTATATAGGGACGCCTTTGTATTCTCCGTACCAAGACATTCTCAATATATCTCATTCCATACACGACTGCATTGAAGCGTTGAGTCAGCCTTACAGCTTAGAATGTGGCAGTTTGAGCAAATCGGCTTATTTACGCTATTTGTTACCACAGCACATCAGCGGCAACAACAATAAACACTAGATGAAATAAAAGCGGCAGCAAAATGCTGGCAGTAGGTGAATGTACATTGTAATTGCTTTAACAGCCACACACTCGTGCCACCGAACGGCAGAAAGCGACGCTGGTCAACACTGGCATTTTACAATCCTGCGCCGAGCAATTGTTCTATACATAGCTTAGCTTCTTTGCTAGTCGCTAACTATAGTGCGCATCCCGTTTGCTGAGGAATGCGATAGCCATGGCTTTTCGGCTAACGCATAACGCATAGTCCGTTGGTTCCGTGCATAATTGAGTGTGAGCTACCCCGTAGCGAAAAGTTAACGAGTTTGATACTTCTTATTTGCAGGCACTTTAGAAATTTGAAGTGGTTGCGTTTGATAATAACTGCCGAATCGAACCAACTATACCAGATCAAACAGTTGACAGACATACTGTTGTATTTACGGTTTAATAAAACAATTAATCTTTCGGCAATTCTGCCATGACTGAATAACCTCTTTTTAATAATACAAGTACACAAGTTGTGTCATTCGCAATAGTTAACCCTAAAAAACCTGATAACTCCGATTCATTGAAAATTTTGAAATGTAATATAAATTCGGTTACAAACAACATTTGCTCTACGATTTTTCTTAAAAACCATTATTTTCGATTTTACAGGGCGTTTTATTTTTTGGTCCTTTGACACATATAGAAATTTTTACAAAAATCCATATTTTATTGAAATTTCATAGAAATTTTATTAAAGTGGTACCCGATACATTAGTTTATATGGAAATTCAGAAAACAATTTTTCTGTGACGAACAATTAGGATGTTTGCATATTGGTTTTCCATAATTTTAAAACCTAGGCGGTAACGAGGCACTGTTAGGACGAGATCGTAGCAAAAGCCTAAATCAGCGCGAATCAGTCACAATTTGTAGCCCCAGTCTGGCACATACTGCTTTAAAAAATTCCTTTTTTTTTTTTGAAGAAATTTGTTCCTCAACGCAAAGACTTCTTCTTCTTTTAGGAACCTTATTGAAATTTTTGTAAATTGTTTCAATCATTGACCGTATTTGAATATAGGATGAACGACATTTGCTGACAAGGATTCATGCGATAATTGAGTTGTTGTAGTTGGTTACTCATCCTCCTGCTGCTTAGTATTAGGATAACGAGACATCATGACCAATCAAAATAATTATAGCATTTTTGGAGATCTTCATGATAATTAAAACGATGACTCCTCTGTGATATTCTATATTGGTATTGATAAATTATGCGTTTCTACACTTTTACTAAGCACTTTATTATTATTTTGTATTTGGAAGTAACAAAATCTACTTGTCAGATGAGCACCTGATGGCTCCTAAAGGAACTATTTATGTTTTGCTTCATAAAATTTAAATTAAATTTAAATTTGTAATCTTTTTATCAACACTTTCCTCAATTTGAATTGTAATAACGATGAAGGTTCCCAATTTTCAGCACTAATTAATTATTATTACTTTCACAGTAGTCACTTGAAAATAAAAAAATTCCTTGAAATGAGTTCTAAACAACGCCGAATAGTGCGTACCGAAAACTCTATTACTGCTATGGAGAAGAGTACCGATAAAGACCATTTGGATATCAAATTTTATTATACCTTATTGTATTCAAACTTCTTATTTGGTATAGTGTCGATCGATAGGTACGACAACATATCTCTATGGAAAATGGGGGTTTTTCAGAGCTGTTGACGTAACTTCAAAACGAGATGGCAACCGATTCCACACAACGAAATTGTGTTTAGCGATGTGGCTCACTTTTGGTTGAATAAGTATGTTATTAAAAAAGTTGTCGAATTTAGAAAGCTGAAAATTCAAAAGTCTTTGTTGAGACGCCGTTACATGCTCAAAATTCACTATTTGATTTGTTTTACGAGCACAGAGCCACTGGTCCATTTTCCTTTAAAATTAAATCGGACATAATGTTTAAGTCAGTCAAGAAAGCTAAAGAGACATCATTAATGACCTTTAAATGCTCTAATTGGAGGATTTTGAAGTGAACGACCCATGATTCCAATAAGACAGCGCTACATGCCACACAGATAACGAAGCAATCAATTTATTGAAGGAAACTTTTGTTGAGCGCATTATCGGGCATCGACAGTTTAGATTTCATAAGTAATATGTTCGAAAAGAGAGTTCTGAAACTATCATCGTACCAATTTCGAAAAAGTACAGAGTCTCAGATGGGATTTTGAAATGTGTTATCGTTTGGATTAAAATACATTTTAGGGGGCAAGCAAATACATTTTTATTAAAGACTGAAAGAAAGAGTTTAATTTACCAAAGTTAAACCTCTTTCTGAGATGTTGAGATCCAGTTGCTCGTTTGGAAAAGATATTACTAATTTTCGCTTGTTGTGCCAGAATTTTACCTGTCTTATAGTTAGTAGTGTATA